TATATTTTTGGACTTCGCTGGTGTAATTCAGTGTCAATTATAAAGTGATTTTCCTCAAATTAAGTTCTGCTTCTTCGCTCTACCCTGCGTGCTTGGCCTGTATTATTGTTTGTGTTGTTCTACTATAGAACATGGCGAGCCGGCCCAACTCGCGTAAACTAAAGCGAGAAGTTAAGGACCTCGAATCTCCTGACAACGCCAGTGATCCAAAATATTGTAACAGCGCACTACCGGTGAGATCATCAACCCCACTAACAACATCGACCTCCACGCCTGCTCCAGATATGATCCAAGCAATGGTCGCGGCTTTCAGAATAACGTTGATGACGCCTGATACACTTGCATCGTCCTCCAGTAACAAACCTAAAGTTAAATTTCCTGCACCAGAAAAGTTTGTTCCGGGGAATCGTTCACATTGTGGGAAGAACAGTATCGTCGCAATATACAACAATTTGATGAAGAACAAAGAGCTAGTGATATCATCTGTTTATTGTCGATACCTGCATTGAAACGTCTCAAGCTAGCTGGCGTCGACACTGACGATGGAAGTGCAAGAGCTATTAACAGCTATGCGTCGAGCATTTGTGCTGCATACCCTTGTTGTCGGGCAGCGGGCTGCATTCCACGCATGTGTCCAGCAAAGTGGCGAAAGTACAGAGGAATTCCTCTGGCGCCTTCGAGAGTTGGTCCCTATGGCTTTCGAAGGAGACACAGCAACCGAGGTTAGCTCCCGTATTCCCAATCAGTTCGAAGAAGGGTCATTGCACGACAAAGTAAGAGAAAGGGTCATTGAAGCTAACCCTACATCACCCGTGGAGGCCCTACAGGTTGCCAAACAGAAGGAGGCTCTAATTAAGCTTCGTAAGAATCAGTGATTAATAGAAGGGCCCTATACTCCATCACGATATCAAGAATCGACGCCACCTTGTAAGCATCGTGCGAAACAACCTATGGAGTGGAGTCCATAATGGTTAAGATTTTATTTTGATAAATCACAGTGTTGTACAGTTACATTAACCGATGACGTTTCGAGCACAAACTATTGCTCATAATCATATCAAGTTACTCACACATCTTCTTTCCTTCATTTATATACGTGTGTGGAATCGATTAGATATTGAAATAAAATTCAATATGAGATAATGTACATTCAGAAATAATAGTACGAGTGTTATTAATCCACTACGATTAGATGGGAAATACAGTTAATATAACTGTACGACACTGTGTGATTTATCAAAATAAAATCTTAACCATTATGGAGTTATACTCTGCCACAGTGCCCAAGTTTTATACTTATATCTATTGAGTGGAGGTCTCGACCTTCCCCGAAAGCAAGAAAAACCCCAAACCAACTACGTCCAAGGGTGGGCTAAAAGAACTCTCGCTTCCCAGGAGAAGTTGGTGAGTCTGTTTTTTTACCTAATGTTATGCAAGTATCAAACGAGCCATATGTAGCCCAGCGTTTGCCCACTGTTTTAGTTAAATTTTATGACAGAACCCTCGTTGGCTTGGTAGACACAGGTGCAGCTTGCACACTGCTGTCCAGCAAACATTGTAATGATATAGCCAAAACTGCCACCCCTTACCTAAACACCCAAGTTGCAAATGGCTCTCGCATGAAAGTAGCTGCCGAGCTGTCACTATTGCGGGAAGGTAACCATGATCGTGTGTGGCATCCATGTTTAGTAGTTTATGGATTGTCATGGGATTTGACAATAGGTTATGACCTCCTACGCAGATGCAACGCTTCCATTGATATTGAATCCCAAACGATCACCCTGCTAGGTTCTACATTACTGTTTAGATCAGACAATAGTAATACCTATTTACAGCAGAGTGTGAATGCGTTGATACCGCCCTGATGGTAAGTATGTTAACACAGGTTCCGCGAGAACACAAAGACTTGGTGCATCGCTAAATTTCGGAGTTTTCGGAGGTCATATCGTGGTCCCCAGCTGACCTGGGGAGAACCACAGCTATTCAACACACTATTGAAACTGGTACTTGCGCTCTAATACGGCAACCACCTTGTCGAGTCCCGGCTAAGTTCCGTCCGCAGCTGGAAAGCATGACTGATGAAATGCTGGAGAAAAAGATAATTGCGCCATCAGACTCACCGTGGTCTTCACCTATAGTGTTAGTTAAGAAGAAAAATGGCTCTTTGCACTTGTGCGTTGATTACAGAAAATTAAACGCAGTGACTCGCAAAGATGCTTACCCAATGCCCAGAATAGACCAGGCATTAGAGGCATTATCAGGCGCCGTCTGGTTTTCCACCCTTGATTTAACGACTGGATACTGGCAGGTGGAAGTCCATCCTCGTGATCGGCAAAAGACTGCTTTTACCATACCCACCGGTTTGTATGAATTCCAGACCATGCCTTTCGGGATGAGTTATGCACCAGTAACGTTTCAACGATTGATGCGGTACTTAAAGGATTAGTCCCACAAGTATGTCTAGTATATTTAGACGATATCATCGTGTTCAGTAACGCCATCGAAGAACACCTCAAGAGACTGGGGATTGTCTTGAAATGTTTGAAGGAAGTGGGACTCAAAGTGCAACCCGCTAAATGCTGTTTATTCAGAACAGAAGTCACTTTCTTGGGGCACGTTGTCAGCACACAGGGCATTCATAGCGATCCCGAAAAGGTTGCAACAGTCAAAGAGTGGCCCGTACCTAAATCCGCGAATGAGTTACACAGTATTCTAGGGTTGGCCTCTTATTACCCCCGGTTCGTGAGAAACTACTCAGAGATCGCTAGCCCTCTAACGAGTTTGACTAGAAAAAATATTCCCTTCGTCTGGACAGAGGATTTTTACCGTGCTTTTCAGCAGCTGAAAGATTCATTATGCTCGGCACCCATTTTAGCATTCCCGGATACATCACCAACGGCTGGTAAGTACATCTTAGATACGGACGCTAGCCACACATCCATCGGAGCCGTATTATCCCAGGTCGGTAGTGATGGCAAGGAACATGTTATCGAATATGGCAGTTGCACACTGATTTGTGCAGAAAAGAACTACTGCATTACCCGCAAAGAAATGTTAGCCGCTGTTACCTTCGTTCGTAAATATCGACCCTATCTACTTGGTAAACCGTTTGTTCTGCGAACAGATCACAAAGCCCTTCAATGGTTGCAAAACTTCAAGGACCCTGAAGGACAGACAGCTAGACGGCAGGAATACCTCCAGGAGTGTGACTTTGAATGTGCTCACCGTCCTGGCAAGCGGCATGCCAATGCTGATGCGTTATCCAGACGCTCTTTCAGACCGCACGGAGACTGCCCGTCTTGCGAGAGTATTAATATTTGTGCTATTTCGTTGGCAGGTTTAAGTAGAGAACAGTGGGCCCATATCCAAGCTACAGACGATGAAACCGCACTCCTACATCATGCCCTGTTGAATCAGACTGGTAGGCCAGTTGAAGCTGATGTGAAAGGGAAGAGTTGGGAGACCAAATGTTTGTGGGTGTTATGGGACTAGTTAGTACTCGTGAATGGCATCATGTGCGTTCAACCAGGTCCCAACTACTTGAGAAGAGTTGTTGTTCCTCAGTCGTTCGTAACTGCAATTCTGGAGAATATGCATTACGACTTAGGACACGCTGAGATTAATAAGATGTTGAAAGCAGTTACCCAACGCTAGTGGCCCCGCCAACGGCGTGATGTCCGAGATTTTGTCCAGCGGTGTACAACATGTGGCAAAGCAAAGAACCAACAGAGGAAACCCAGGGCACCACTTATTAACGTGAAGGCTGGTTACCCCAACGAAATAATTGGCGTAGACCCACGGGGGAACAAGTATATCTTGGTCATGGTTGATTACTTTACGAAATGGTGTGAAGCTGTTCCCCTACAGCGTATTGATGCCTCTACAGTAGCTAAAGCTATATTTGATTGTTGGATTGCCCGTTGGGGCGCACCCGAGCAATTGCATTCGGATCAAGGAACTAACTTCGAAAGTATCTTGGTTAGAGAGTTGTGCCATCTATTTGGGATTAAGAAGTCTAGAACCACAGCGTACCATCCTGAAGGCAATGGGTTAGTCGAACGTACCAATCGAACCTTAAAATCATTACTACGCCTATTCTTAGAGAGGGAATCACAATCAGCCTGGGATATGATGTTACCAAGATGCTTGTTGGCCTACCGAGGAAGCACACACATGTCTACGGGGAAGACTCAACACCTTTTATGGGCCGGCCGCGAGTTACGACTGCCCAGTGATACCTTGGTTATGCCCCGATGGGATGACCCGCTAACTACGTCGGAAATGGTGATTAGGTTGCGAGGGGACATAGCCAGATTTCATAGCTATGCACGCGAAGAACTTCAAAGGACACAAGAGCGACAGAAACACTACTACGATCGGAAGCAGTGGGGCACACCATTCAAAATAATGGATAAGGTGTGGCTGCGTCAACCACCGACTGACAACTTGAGTCATCATAAAGCCCCAGCACAGTGCACAGACCCAAATGTGGTATACCGTAGAGTAACGGACAACACCTACGAAATCCAAGAAGACAACGAAAACCCTCAGAAAATGATAGTGCACTTCAGCCGTCTGAAACCGTCCAGACCAAACCGACGGGCACCGGGGAAACTCCGCCTAATCTTGATAACCATAATAACCATGTGTTTCTTTCTCTTGCAGGGACGGTGCCGAGGTGGGAAGAAAGAGAGACTGAAGTCGCTGGGGACAGCTTTTTGGAAGCGAGGGGGTCTTGTAGTGGAAGCGTCAGTTCAAAAACCGGTGGATGCTGAACTGTAAAAGCCTAGCTCTTTGTACACAGATATATATATTTTTGGACTTCGCTGGTGTAATTCAGTGTCAATTATAAAGTGATTTTCCTCAAATTGTGTTCTGCTTCTTCGCTCTACCCTGCGTGCTTGGCCTGAATTATTGTTTGTGTTGTTCTACTACAAGGCGATTTTCAATTCATATACGTCTTAATGTATTTCTTCATTGGACATTCAACAACCTGTTGAATTAGACTCATTTACAGAGGGTTTATTGGAATTAAAAAGTATTATTTTTAATCAAATGAGCTTGGTATAATCCGAAATTTTCAGGCCTTAAAGAAAACACAACATTTATGAAAAATGTTAGTTTGGGATAGCGGTTGCAACTAACTCTGCGTTACTCAAAGACGTGGTAATGTCTCCACAGTTTTGGATTTATTCTGGACGTCATTTGATTTCATGAATTCTATTCTAAGCGTTCGAAAAAAAATGTATTTTTCACTGTGGATTATACGGGAAAAATAATGATTCAGATATTTTTATTTCATTCTCTGAAGATATCATTCGCTGCACATGTGACTTAAGGCACACGTCTTAACTTATTGAACCTAGGATTTTAAACTTTTTGATTCATGAGAAATTGGAACTCCAAAGCCTTGGTTTGATATTTTAACAGCCTCAAATAACAACAAACCAAGGCGTGGAGATACCAGGATTTTGCTCCTGAGGCATGTTGTGGTACTTCTCATGGAGGCCGGACATCGTAAGTCGTTATGTAAAGTTGGTAGTGTGGCCTTGATTGACTGGGGATGGTTTTTGGCTGGCGCATGACCAGCAATGGTCGCTGGGTTAAGAGAACATGAAGGAATGGTTTTGGGAAGTATGATCAGCGGAATGAAAGCAAGACTGAAAAACCATATCCTTGTGAGAGTATGTGTGGCTGGTTACCTACATCGTAGGTGTTGATTATTTCTTGAATTATGTGAAAGAGGAAAAGTGGGCTACTACCGAATCTGGATTCCTACTATTAGAAGGCTGTCATACGGCACTTTTGAGGTGGAATTATGTCTGTACAAAACCCATGTTGCCTTGTCTGTAACACCGTGATGTGTGTTAAGGTGTTCACTTTCTTGCGACCCCTCCGCAGAGTGGGAAGACAGCGGGTCTGGCCTGCAGATTCCCGGTAATTAGTGTCATATATATATATATATATATATATATATATATATATATATAGTACACTTCCTGGTATCAGCAGTACGACCTGTCCTTGTGGTATAACTGCCTTATGTTATCTGTCAGTTGGGATAAATTTGCGAGGAGAAAAGCTCACCTTATCATGTTGTTCGAAAATGTAGTATGCATTCGATTACTGAAAAATTATAAAGTGAAATACGATAGTATGCGATTATAATTGTTGTTCAATATCGGGTAACAAAAAGGTAATATATAGAATAATCAATAAAATGTATAGATCTTGGAAAGGGATCTAAAATTAGTGCGATCAATAGGTAAGTAGGCGATTGAAATATTACGTAACATGGCGAGGAGTTTTATAAAGTGGAATTTAACATGATGAAATTAATTTGACATTAGATGTAAACCCCTAAATAACTGCACAGTTTTGGAGTAAAGTTATTAAAGGAGATCACTCTGCCGACTTATGTGTTCTTTAAAGACTACATAGTGTGTAACGTTACCTTTATTTTGTTAGGCTGCTTGTCACCAATTAACCCTTTGTGTCGAAACTGACGTCTGCCACCTCATCTCGGTTTAATCAGTACGTGTTTATAAAGGAAAAATCAACTCTAACCGAATATGTAACCGTCACTTATTTCGAGTAAACTTTAAGGAAGGGAATCAGGAAGTAAATAAGGTGAGAAGAATCGAAGAATGATTAACCCGAAGATCTTGTATCTGTGTCCCATGTGTGCGTCCAACCCTTAAAGGTCTGTGACTTGAACATCCTAGTATAAAATTAGCTGTCTTGTGTTATCTCCGTTGGGTAGGGTTTATTCGCTTTGATTGTATTTCATATATATATATATATATATATATATATATATATATATATATGCCTAAAGGCGCATGCCTCATTGGCCAAAATACTCAGCTTTCAAACAGTGTTCACAAGTTCAAGTCCCGCTACAAATGAGTAGTAATATGAGACATACAGTAGGTGTGGTTCTTGGCCTGGTACATGAAAGAATTATTCCAGGTAATGGAGTTCAAACAAGTATACGCCAAACAAATGATAAGTACGTTCTGAGTCGCTGTGTCACTACTGTTCGGTTTTACGATTAGTGAGGTTTTTGAAACAATAGACCGTAGGTATTCAAATATTTCAATTAAATTTGTTTTCATAGCTACTGTTATCCAAAATGTTTATCGTGGTTACTTTCATTTCTTGCGTATTGTTTTGCCCTAATTTTGCAACTAAACGGGTGAATATTTCGTATTTTTTTTTCAGAGATCTAAACGACGCAAATGGTCACTGAATTCCCTGCATTAAAAAACGATAACATCATCAAAGCTGCCAGGGGAGAAGCTGTTTCTCGTACGCCTGTCTGGATAATGCGTCAAGCTGGTCGCTACTTACCTGAATTTCGTGCAGTTCGAGAAAAGCATGATTTCTTTGAAATCTGTCGTACTCCAGAACTAGCCTGTGAAGTAACACTACAACCCATTAAACGTTTTGATCTTGATGCAGCCATCATATTTTCTGATATTTTGGTTATACCTCAAGTAAGTTAATTTACAACCATATAGGCAACTTCTTTGCTTTTGATCTCAAGTCACTAGGTATAAATCGTACTATTTTTTCAATATTTGTTTACTTCTTTTCTAATTGGTGTTGTGGTAACTCGCATGTAATCTCATACAGTAAAACGCTGCATTTCGAGTACATAAATATTATTATACACCACAAATGATAAAAGCATATAGATATGGACTCAGTTTAGTCTATGGATTTTTTACTTATATAACGAAGTCAAATGGATAATTTTGCATTAGTTTATGGTGAATTTATTATTATATCTGGTTCATTTTCGTCGCAGCTTTTCATTCCTTTAGTTTCCTACTAAAGCATCGAGCTTCTTGTTTCTAAGTTGTTTACACGAAGTGGGATTGATAGTTTCACGCCCACCTTCCCTCTTTTCCGGGCTGACGACCGGCTGGAAGAGGTATATGAGTGCGTAGGCTGAAAATCCTTCCCCGTACACTTGAGTAGTTGGCTAGCAGTAATAATATAATACTCATTGAAATGAACTTTGGAGATATTGGTCATCCCTTTAAACTCTGCTTCAATTTGTGCTGTTGGATAACAGCATAACATATATCAAGTATGGTTTATAGTCCAGTGAATAGACTTGTAGACGGTCGTTGAGTTACATTGTTTTTCATATTAACTGTAACTTGCTTGTATAGGTAAAGTTAAGGTAGAACTCTTACTTGACTCTTAATTGTTTTAGTCGAGATAGATGTTAATAAACGGTCATTCCTGGGCCTCTTCTATGACATCTGGGAAAATTGTAGGACTAAAAGCAGCTTTTTTCTTTGTGTAAACATCTTTTTACGGTTATGAAGTAAAATATTAGTTTGGGATAAAAATTGACAATAGTGAAGTGATTTCTTTGGTGACCAGCATTCATTGTGTATTTATTACAGAAAAAAAGTTAGGTTTCTTTCTTGTGGTTCACACTCCAACTTGTACTTCTCATTAACAAGTACGCTTTTCCGTAAGAGAGATGTAGTTCATTTGTTCAAGTAGTCTGCTTCCAGCAAATGTGCCTCAGGTTGGAGCTCCACTCTTTCAGTTACATCATTTAGGTACCAACTTGCACTTTATGGAAAGTTTGAATCACTCAGTCATCTCCAACAAACATGATCTTCATGATTTGTGTTTCTCTCTTTGTCATCTTTAATTCCATGATCTCCAACACTACTGTTTCTCCAACATTTGTTGTACTTTCTGGCTATGTAAAGGTTGCGTAAATTCACTCTAACGAAATACTGTTTTTGATGTTTTATCCTGGTCAGAAGTAATATGGGTCTTTCAGCATTTGAACTATATTTGATATCAAATACGAAACAAAATTAACTGAAACTTTGGTACGTCGTACTAAATTATATATATATATATATATATATATATATGAATGGTGCATTTACATCACTGTCTGAATTTCATCTCTCAGTGAAAATAACAGCATGTGTTCTTTTGTAATTATTTATTATAGGCTCTTGGTATGGAAGTTAAAATGCAACCTGGCATCGGACCGAAATTCGTTGAACCTCTAAATTCACCAAAAGATCTAAATCGACTGAATTTCCAGGTGGATGTGGGCAAAGATTTAAGCTATGTCTATGAGTCAATCTCATTAACGCGTCATCGACTGGAGGGAAAAGTCCCTTTAATCGGTTTTGCCGGAGCTCCATGGACTCTTATGTCTTACATGATTGAGGGTGGGAGTTCTAGTACTTATTCCAAAGCGAAACGATGGTTATATTGTGAACCGCAATCCAGTCATCAGCTACTTGATCTCATTACCCAAACAGTTGTGGAACATCTAGTTCAACAAGTTCTGGCTGGTGCTCAGTTACTTCAAGTAATTTTTTGTCTTGTAATTTACTCCTTTTTACATTTCCTTAGTGTTTAAGTAATTATGCTTTGTTTATAGTATTCATACATAATTTGGTGTCAATACTTATTCGTTTATCGCCATATTCATTCCTGAATTGAGACTTTTAAATATCATATTAAAAGATCTGCTTACCCTAACTTGTTACGAACATCCTCGCATTGTTATTTCTGACGTTCTTGTTTACACACAGTAATTGAAATTTTCCGTAACCTTGTAAGTCGGAATAATCATCTTGTGGTTGTTGAACTCTAATTCATCAGTATTTATGTGGATATTCTCTTCATCCTCTCACTGTTCAAAACTTGTATCAGAGAGTGTTTCTCAATGCAGAACTTATTCAGTGGGAAGTGAATGAAACCTAGTGTGAATAAGTTTAAGATTTATGTTGATATTCTATGTCTCAACAGATATTACCTTGAAGTGAACTGATTAATCAGTGTAGAACTTTGCACAGAAGTGCATCAGTTCAAGTTGCTATACTCCAAGAGGACAAAAGAGGTAGAGAAAACTACAATGAACTACTAAAAACGAAAATGTACGAGGAGAAGACTAATTTCATGAAGAATAATGAAGATTTTCATGAAAATCACTGCTATAGTCAGACATCTAATTAGCAGCTAAATTTTTATTGTGCTTGTTGGCAAGATCACGAACAAAATTGTGTGGGTGAATACATCTGGATTTTCTTATAAACTTATTCTAGTAATAATAATTATTGTTCTTTTCGATAACTATGATTTTGGTTTACATTCACCAGCTTATGTACGCCTCATTAACTTACCAAATGAATAATACAGAAAGCGAACTAACTTTTAGTTGTGTTTAGAAATTATCCCAGTGAGCAATAGTAATCTTACACATGTATGGCGAGTATTATCATTTAAAACAGTAGACTTTAGATTTCAGGTTCATTAGGATAGAAGTGTATCCAGTTATAAACTTCTAAATATGGTTAAACATGCATTATAGATTAAAGTGATAGCTGTTACCAAGCAGGTAACACTAGAATAAAGTCTTGGACATTGTGGGGACACCCGTTCAAGGAGTACATATATTGATAATGATGAATCAGTTGAGTGTGACACAATGGGAAATTACTTGCATAAACGTCGTTACCTAGTGTTCCTTGCATGGATGCAAATATTTACTGTGATCAGTTGTTGTTTCTAAAAATCACTGATCAACTGTTTTCAGAAAAGTAACACTAAACTTTAGTCCCTCGGTGGTTCAGTCGTGGGATGCTCTCCAATCACGCACTTGATCGGGGTTTAGATTCCCGACCGGTGCACTTCTAAACCTCACTTGGTCGGTCGTAAGCTTGGTCAAGAGGGAAGATTAGGCGAAGTGCTACAAAAAACAGCTACTGAGACATCAAACCTCAGGCTTGAAGCCCTACGTTCCACTAGGAACGCAAATAAATGAAAAAAAACTAAACGTTACTTGTGTTCAAAGCCTTTCAGAATAAGGTATGTGCAACTCAACCCTATAAAAATAAATAGTGAAGCGATCTAAATGCTGCTTAACTATTACCAAAAGGTATCTTGTTTCTTTATTTTTATAAGGCCTATTTGCTGTCAAGTTGTGGCTCATTGGATTAGGCACTTGACCTCCAGTCATCGGTCACATGTCTGACATTCGATTCACTTAATGAGGTTCAGGTAGCCGCATAATGTCATTGGTTCTCGCAGGATAGGTGTGTCTCATTGCTAACTGTATGAAAACGCAAGTGGTTGTTGGATGGAGTTTCATTTTCATTCCATTGTTTCTTCGTTTCCTTAAGATCTGCTTAATGTAAAGCCCACTTGTCCTGGATATCACGCACTCGCAAGTTTCGAAAAAAACACTAGCTAACTGTTAATTGACGTATGCTTTAATTAGAAACTGAACTGTGCTGAATTTCGACAACACAATAAGAAGACGTAGTTTATCTGAAACGTGTGATGTATTTGCGCAACACATTGTGGACATTCTGATCACACACGTACTTGTAATACACAGTTTTGTAGAAGGCAAAAAGGCATGAATCATTACAATACAGGTTAGATTGTGTACAGGTCAAGGCCACTGATAATGGGTATGGAGATGACGCAAAGGTGTGGTTAAGAAAGAAAAAAGCAAAGAAGGGGTTGAAAATATTATGAAGTAAATTGATCCTTGGTTCTAAATTGGATTACCAAGGTAGCTTTAAAGTAATAACAAATAACATTTGGACACATAAGACAGGTTTAAGTCTTTTTATGGCCAAGGCTTCAACGAATTTAGGTATGTGACCTAACCTTGTTTTAAATATGGGCTTAAAGACTCGTCTCTATAATGTGCTTCGCGGATGCCCGGCGCTCTTCACCGGGTTGACTGTCCATTGGATGACAGTCTAGGGGAGATGGCTAAACCCTGATTCCAAACCTCCAACGACTGGCATATGAAGCTCACTGGAGCTCACCGGCAGACGTATGGACAAAGGGCTTGTTGGATGTCCTGGATGTCTGGCCCCATTCAAAAAGGCGTATGAACCGAACTCCGGTCACCGGCTGCCAATGGATAGTGGACTCCCTACTCCACTCCTACTGCCTTGTAGGTCACACTTGGTTGTGTAAAGGCTAGAGCTGCACTCTCAAACAAAAGACCGAGCGATTCTGGGGACATCACTCGTACCGAATTCCCATGAAACTTCATGAACTTTCTTACATGGCTTGGTACAGTCAAGGCTGATATGGAGTGACTGGGGCTACAAACCGTCTACGGACTCCGTCTGTGGAACAAGAATTGGATAACCCTGTCGCAAAACCTTGCATCAGATCGCCGCGCCTGGGCAGCGATGATTCGAGATGTTCATGAAGCCGGCTCATCCTCCCGTAGGAGATAGCCGAAGTAAAGTAAGTAAAAGTAAGCTTCGCTATAGATGATGTTGAACACCTATTTCCGGGATCAATTGTATCTGGTGATTTTATTTGTTGTTGCAACCACTTTGGAATATGTTCTGTAGCCGTAAGCTGCAGAGACCGATGGGTCCTTCCTATGTACGTTTGTCCACACATGCATGTAAATTGATAAATACAGTGGGATGTCACACTATCGTTCGGATACTCTGAGGGTTTACAGGACTGCATAGTTCTCGTTTTCTCTATGAAGATAAGTTAAGCTGCATAATAAGTTCTAATTGCCGTATTGAGTCTTTGTTTAGTGACCAGGCTTTGTTGATCACCCCTGAACGGGAAGGATGTCTAAACATCCTTTTTGAGAACTGATTGGATTGGTAGAGCTCTTTGGTTGACACTTCCGTAACGCCTAATAAATCTCAGCGGGTAATTGTTATTTAGCAATATTTCAGTGAGGTGTTATCTTCTTCAATTGTATCGACAGTAAATATATGGTGAATGCGTTTGAACAAACACAACCAACGCCTTTTTATACTGTAGTGGACAGAAACTATGATAATTTAGATACTTTCCTATCCATTTGTATTTTCTGTAGACAGATCGTTTTACTGACCCATCTTATCGGCGGGTTATAAGTAAATCTAAAAATGGCAGGTAATCATTATGTTAGCGATATACTATTTTGTACTCTATTGGTCTGGTTTAGGATTTCTATGCCCGGCTGACAACTGGTGCCTTGCCGTGGTGGTCGGGCTTGAATGCCGCAGTGACCCAACAAGCTATACTGGCTGGGACTCATGTCCCTGCAGCTCCTACCATGTTTGGATAGCGGTTAGACTAAACGCAGTTACCATGGGGTATATGGGCTCCAGAATTCAATCGGATCAAATGGCGTATGAACCCATATGGGTCACCGGCAACCATGGCAACGCAGCTCCTGACGCTGCTCCTCTGCCTTGCGGATTAGACTCCAAGTCAAAGGCTCGGGGGTGGTCCCTTAAGAAAACCGCCTGCTTCGGTCTGGGCGCCCGGGCAGTATCTCAGCCCTCACACAATAAATGAAATGAAGCAACAAACTATTATTGAAACTCACCGCGCGCTCGTAAAAATGATTTCAAGAAATAATGATACCTCAAGCAATTTATGTCCTTCCAACCTTACTTTTAATTTTATACTTAGATTCCTGTATTTCACCTTTGCTCACTTTGACTTTTTAACCTTCGACAGCCTTTCGCCTTTGTCTGGATTCCTAGCCTATCTGTGTCGTTTCGAGATGTTAGTGAGTAACCCTCAAAATGGTTGTCCTCAATGTGATATCTAACACAGATATCCTGAAACCTCGTGCCGCGTTCAAGCTGGCCACCTACAATGTTCGGACACTGATGCAAATCGGACAACAGGCAGGGTTGGTAAGAACGTTGGAAAGCCTCGCTATCGATGTCTGCTGCATTTCGGAGACCCGCATTCAAGATCCCAGTGAATTGCTTCGATTGTCCTCTCCATCTGGAAGTTCCAGTAGTATGTACCACCTGCGCTTGTCCGAGGACCCTCTGGCGTCGGCATCCGGCGTAGCTGGTGTCGGTGTCGCACTGAGCGCTAGAGCCGAAGCTGCATTGCTCAACTGGATTCCCATTAACAGCCGTTTATGTGCTGTGAGGCTGGAAGGTTATACGAAAGTAAGGAGTAGTAGGCCAGATAGGCGGTGTCTATTTGTTGTCTCTGCCTATGCACCAAGGGATTGCAGCCCGGATGCAATGAAGGATGAGTTCTACTACCAACTTAGCGATCTCTTGAGATAGGCGGGTCGGAGGGATATCGTAGTGCTGGCTGGGGACTTGAGTGCACAGGTCGGGCGTCTGAGCTCAGAGGAGAATCGTCTAGGTGGTCAATGGGGACTACATGGTCGCAGGTCAGATAATGGGGACCGTCTTCTGCAACTTTGCGAGGATCACAACCTATTTCTTGCCAGCACCAACTTCCGGCACAACCATCGCCGTAGCGCTACCTGGCGTCCTCCCTCTGCGAAGCAAGCTTGGACTTAGATTGATCATATTGCTGTCAGTTTCCGGTGGCGAGGATGCATACAAGACTGTCGCTCCTTCTGGAGTACATGCCTGGACTCCGATCATGCGTTAGTGTGTGCCAAGTTCGTCTTGCGATTTGGTGGGGTTCATAAAAGGCGTCATCTAAACGTTGATTTGAGCAAACTAGTAGCACCTGCTACTTCTTTGAAATATCAGAATGAATTACAGTCAATGCTTGCCAGCAACCCCCCCCCCCAAGTAGCATAGATGAACATTGGCTTCATCTGAAAGGTGCCATGCAAAGAGCGAGTGTATCCGCTTGCGGCTTAAAAGAATGCTCCGCCAAAAACCACTGGGTTTCTGGGAGTTCCTTGCAACTCCTGGATGAACGCCGGTCCATTCCGGCTGTCAGCGAATACAGCAATAAGCGAAAGGCGCTGACGCGCAAGATAAGACAGTATTTACGTAAGGACCGCGAAGCCTGGTGGTCAGAACTTGCGGGTGAGATGGAATCAGCTGCTGCATCTGGCAACAGTCGGAAACTGTTCCAACTCATCAGAGCCACCGGCAGCAAGAAACAAGGTGTCAGCGAGACGGTCTGTGAGGCAGATGACACGCCAATTACCAGCTTGAAAAGACGCCTGAAACGCCTGGGCTCTAACTGGGTTGTTCAGGAAGGTATGGGAAATTGAGAGTGTAGCATCAATGTGGAACGAAGCCATTATCGTCCCCATATTTAAAATGGGTTGACGTAATTCGTGTGACAATCATAGGGGTATCAGTCTGCTACCAGTCGCGTCCAAAATATTGGCTGCTGTCTTGCTTCGCAGGCTGTGCAAAACACGTGAGGGATTGATTCGCTAAGAGCAGCCTAGGTTTCGTTCAGGTTGTGGATGCATTGATCACGTGTTCACCCTTCGTCAGTTGTTGGAACACTGCCACACGTATTGCAGGCCAACAATCGTTGTGTTTCTTGATATTAGGCCTGCCTTCGATCCTTTGGACAGAACTGTGCTCAGGAACTGTCTGTTAGAGAGAGGTGTACCTGAGAAATTTGTTAACATCTTGAAAGCCCTATACAGAAACACCTCAGGTAGAGTGAGGGCATACAACCAACTATCATCACTGTTCCCAACCAAGAGTGGAGTTAGACAGGGTTGCCCAATCTCTCCATTTCTCTTTAACTTTGCCATCGATGACATTCTGGAGTCAGCTCTGAAGGATGTGCGTGAAGGTGGTGTAGATCTGCTACCTGGAGATAGACTTTTCGACCTCGAGTATGCAGACGATATCGTCTTACTGTGCGATAGCATGCAAGCTGCCCAAATTGCACTTAATCAGTTGGCGATCAGTGTCTGTAAGTATGGTATGTGCTTTGCACCGTCTAAGTGCAAAGTACTGTTACAAGATTGTCAGGAGCCTGTATCTGAACTCACTCTTGCGGGTGAACTGCTTGAAGTTGTTGATAAGTTTGTGTATCTGGGTAGTTGTGTGAGTGCTGGCGGAGGGGTGACGGATGAGATTTCCAACCGTATAATGAAAGCTAGGGTGGCATACGTGAACTTGAGCCACCTCTGGCGCCGTCACGACGTTAGCCTGGCAGTCAAAGGTCGAGTATACAATGCTTCGGTGCGGGCTGTCTTGCTCTACGCCTGTGAAACCTGGCGTCTTCGAGCTGAGGATGTGCGGCGACTCTGCGTGTTCGATCATCGCTGTCTCCGCAGGATTGCTTGCGTTCGATAGCATCATCGCGTGAGTAATTCCGAGTTTCGGCGGCGTGTTTTTGAACACAGTGGAGATTACCATTCATTGAGTGTCGTCATCTGGAAACACCGGCTCCGGTGGCTTGGACATGTGCTACGAATGTCATCCCAGAGGCTTCCGTACAGGTCTCTGTTCGCTAGCCCTGGGGCGGGATGGAAAAGGTGGAGGGGTGGTCAGTCCATTACGTGGCGTCGTGGGATGAAGGATATTTGTGCTAGATTAGCATCGGTTGGTGTGTCACGACTCCCTGGTTGGGGTCCGAGAGATAGCTCGAAGCGATGGCTCGAAACGTTATCGGATATGGCCAAGAATCGTAGTCAATGACGAACGTGCTGCAATTTCTTTTTTTCTTCCCTTCCTGATGATAGTAACCGAATACTGTTTGAACTTGTTAAGTATGACTTTTTCTTCCAGATGAAGTTTTTTATCCGTTCTCTAATTATATTTTTACTTCTAATCTATGTTGTTTTATTATTATTGTGTGGCGCATCTTTCTTGGTGCCATATTGTACCAAGTTTTTTCTGCGTTTAAATAAAAAGAAAATAAAAATAAGGATTTCTATGGCGTCTGTCGGTTTATCACAAATGACTATTTGTCTTATAAAAATAAACCTTTCCAATTACGTCCTCCACTAAGTTCTCAACACGCGACATATATATAAATATCAGCTAACAATGGACCTAGGGGGCTTCCCATAGCAACACCATCGATCTGGCGAAAATGCTCGCCCTCAAATGTAAACTTAACATTGTTAGTACATAGACGCAATAATTTTTAAATAAGATATGGACCCTGGTAATAGGAAACTGTTGTCAGAGATGTAATCACATAAAATGTCAACCGGTCTGTAAAAGAGGTACATTTATAAATAAAGAATCAAAGTCTAAAGAGAACATGGTTTTGTCCTTTATATCAACGTTATGAAGACAATCAATTAACTCAAGAGTATCTTTTAATGCGAACTTACAGAAGCTTCTACTAATAAGCTTTGATATTTCCACTAGCTACTGTACAAGTTTGTGGGTTGGGCATCTGCACATTGACATTATGGGACGTAGAGGAATGTTAAGTTTATGTGTTTTGGGTAGACCATACATGTATGGTAACTGGGACTGTGTGGGCTTTAGTGAATTGAATTTCTCTCTGCTAATTGCATTCATGTTTAGGAGTTTTACTAGATTATTGTACATTCTTCACATCTTCCAAAGTGGAGTCTCTCGTAAATTTATCATTGTTTCCAAGAATGCATAACGTTTTACTTTTGTATTCAATTCAATTATCGCTAAATATGAACACAATTTAAAGCAAACACGACTGGTGATTATGGCAATATGATTTAATCAACATTACACTGTGACTTATATTCAGAATTAAGTCGATGGGGAAATGTCAGTATGGAAAACAATAATATGTATCATAACTCCACTGAGTGTTGTGACTGATTGCCTATCTTACAATTTTGGATATAAATGGGGTGTAGACTAAAAACCAAAAAGCAAGCATTCCAATCATGATTTGGAGTAATTTAACTGCAAGTCGTACAGTTTTCTGTTTGCTTCAGTCGTCCTGTTCTTTATGCTTTCTTTCCTTCTTTTATTTTGTTAGGTTTTTGAATCCCATGCTGGCTTTCTTAGCCCACATCTGTTTAACATATTTAGTCTACCGTATTTAAAACGGATTGCAAACGAAGTGCGAAGTCGTCTGTCAAATGAATACAAAATTACTGGTGACTCTCTTCCACCACTAATTGTATTCGCCAAAGATGGTCATTATGCTCTGTCGCAGTTATCTCAGGCTGGCTATGATGTTATCAGTTTAGATTGGACTATATGTCCTGATTTAGCTCGAAGTATTATCCCTTCTGGCATAACGCTACAAGTGAGTTAAAATTTCGTATTAATAAACTGATTTTTGTGTACACTGTTACTCAACTTATCTCTGTTTAAAACTGTTTGCAGGAGTATTTTGCCTCCTCAAAACCATAATTCAAGTAGCGTCAGTTAAGAACTTCAAGACATTCATATGGGGATTTTGTGGTAAAGTGATCGACTTCATGGAAGTATAAGTGTCTAGCGTTGAAATGGATTTCCTGGCACCTTAGTGAGAATCAATCTTAAATAAGTGTGTGAAGAAATCGAACGCTGATCGCACTGCATCTGGAGCTTTAAGAAGTTGGTAAGTGTTTGTCGTTGAATTTCGACTAAGTGGTCTCAAGAATTAACAGTTCCTGTGTTTGGTTCTTGGTAAGGTTGCGAGTGGGTACTGTTAATTTGTCTTAAGACTACTGTTAAACAATGGTGCACTTCCCTGGATTATTAATTGTTTGATGGTCGATTTTGGCATATCATGAAAACTATTTTGAAAATTACAAGCTTATTGAGGGCTTAAGTCTGTGCAACAAAAACGAAAGGTTTGATGTCCATAAAGTTAATGAAAGCCTGGAAAGCAGCAGTACCGGGTGGAGTCACCCACAGAAGCACTGAAAACGGAACTTGGAGATCTCGGTGGACATACTCACGCCACTACTGGAGAGGATGTGGAAGGAAAAAGATAAATGTACCTGCCTGCCAATAGGAAAAAAGGCTACTTTGTCAAACTGTCAAAGAAGGGTAACTTGAGCCTATGCGAGAACTGAATTAGAATTATGCTATTGACATCCTCTAGCAAAATGTTAAGCTTCATTATCCCGGAAAGACCAAGAGTTAGTCTTCCAGAACAGGCTAAACTCAGCAGAAATGAGTCACGCTTGGATCAAATCGTAAGACCACACAACATTATCGAAGAGAACATAGAATGGCAGTCAGCTGTGTATCTCAGCTTCAACTTGATCAACTTTGAACAGTCCTTCGACAGCGTCGACCGTGAAGTAATTTGGCAGCCACTTCAACATTAAAAAGTGCAGTAATGCAAAGACTTATAAACCCTATTGAACAGCTAAGTAATTCACAAAGGGAAGGGTCAGTGAAGCCTTTGAAGTTAAGATAGGAATCAGAAAAGATTGTTATTACCGATAATATTCTTGATTGTGATGGACTGGATCATACTAACATACTGAGAGGAGTCAAATGGGTATATGTTGGACTGACAAAGAGACCCTTGACATCTGAATTTCGCAGATGATTCGTGTCTCATGTCCCACAGACTAGAAGACTTACGAGCGAATACCAACAAATTTGGCGGCTGAGACAAAGGTAATGAAGACACCCGACAACCAACAATAGCAAATACCGATCACCATTGACGGGAGAAATCTTAAGGATGTCGTCTATCGTACTTACCTAGACAGCATCGTCTCAACCGTAGGTGGCACAGATGAGAATATCAAAGCCAGCCAGGATCATTTGAGGAAATCACGATAGACGTTGATTACTCTGAAACCAATGTGTGTGGAGTTTGACACTAACATGAAGTCAGTGCTTCTGTATTGTTCAGACAGGCGCGTGTCACAAAATTCATTTCCAACAGGTTGCAGAATGAAATCGAGATGGACTGAACATAAGCTGTAGATACATTCAAGTGATGTTACACAGTAGGCTCTGGAGTGAAACCCGGATGGGAAGTGACCAGTTGGACATCAAAGAAGATTACGTGAAGGGGAAAGGAAAGGTAGTCATGTAGCCAGTTGGAAGTGATGGAAAAGAACCGAGTGCACTGGAGATGTGTTGCTGAATCCTTCTGCTCCACTAGAAACGCAAGGAATGAATAATAATAACAACAGTACAACGAACTTTCTCCCAGTGGTTCAGTGATTTGGAAGATCCTATGGGGAGGCGCTTTTTCAGATACTACATACACTTATTCTCCTTTATGAATTCGAGCAACAATTTGTCCTTGCTTTATCCAAAATAATAATGATAAAAAAATCTGATCGACGAAATTAAGGTGTCACATTGTAAATGCCCTATCTTTAAAAAAGAACTGCTATGTGAAAATCACTGGGATATTAGTATGATATCAATCGCATCCCAAATACTTTGTGTTGTCCTATCTCCTATCCAGCAGAAACTGACTGGCAAACGGAAAGCTAGTTTTCAGTCAGTCTGTGGAAGTACTGACCGCATGTTTGCTCCTGAGCAGTTAATGGAATATTAGATGGTTGGAGGCAATCGGCAGGAAGCCTTGGACCTAGGTTTCGTGCTAGTTGGCACTCATCAGCAAGGCGTATCTGCAACCTTGAAGGAACTGATGTCCCTTCTGAGATTCGAACCCGCGTCACCCAGTGCTGCAGTTAGAGACGTTACCACTGAGCTATTCAGACTCGCGACTGACCTCCTGTAGGACTGTATTGGATATTTTTGATTGCACACTAGTCAGTAACTAGTGTAATGCGTCTAGTCCTATCTTCGGTGCAGACTGAATTCTATCAGTCATGTTTGCAATGTGGCCACCATGCTAGGTGGCTCGCCATTACGGTGCACTGTGAATTGTTGGTATTAGATGGTTGGAGGCAGTCGGCAGGAAGCCTTGGCCTCCAACCATCTAATACCAACAATTCACAGTGCACCATAATGGCGAGCCACCTAGCATGGTGGCCACATTGCAAACATGACTGATAGAATTCAGTCTGCACCGAAGATAGGACTAGACGCATTACACTAGTTACTGACTAGTATGCAATCAAAAATATAGTTGATGGAATACCGTCGCACGCATGGCAAACCAAGTCTTGTTGTTCCTAATATTAGGGCCTTTGATTTACTAACCGAGAGAAACTTAATTATTATTTTGCAGTTGCCTGTTACTGGGCAACGTCCTCAAGAGGCTCTATACTAAAACACTTAAGATAAAATGAAGACGTACAACCTCCTATAACCACTGTTTTCAGCCATCAGTGGGTGGCTAGCCCGCGATATGGAGTTACAAAACGAAGGATGGTGATGTTGTACTGACATCTGTTTGTAGGTTGCTGTTCTTTGGGTGTGGTTCGAGAAATCAGAATGTGCACTACCTCGTGGCGTTATTAGGCTTAGTTCAACATCGTCAATCTGTGGTTATTATGCTGCAGTTTTTCTTTTCAAATTCTTGATCTGAATTCTGATGTGCACCGCAATATACCAACATCGGAAATCTCATTTCTGTTGTTTTCTGTGACCGGACGCGTCTATACTTTCTTGGTTGTTTGTGGATCTTTAAACCTGTATGTACAGTCGGTTTTAATCAAATTTTCCCAGATGTCCTACGTGAACCCTCCGTGTTCATTAATTTAGTAGTGAGCACGCGACCTTCGCACTTCCCTTTTAATTTTGTATGACTTGTGATGTAGAGTGAAGGTAGCACTTGCGTGGAAGAGCCTGTTATATAATAGCTTTTTATTTAGTAGAAGGTGGATGTAACTTTGTGAAAATGTAAGTTTTTAAAAATCACTACATATATGGTATGTATTTCAATACAAGTGATGCATGTGTGCATCAAACTTATATAATTACTACTCCGTTGAATGTGATGTCACATCTCTGGTAAATCGTATACTATTACCAACTTCATCTCTTTCGCATTCTCGGTCAACTGGTAATTTAGACAGTTAGTGTCATCAACCAAATCAATACGACAACGGGAAGCATTGTATTGGTTTCAGTCTTTGAATATAGAATCCATTCAGTATTCATTTGGTTACTCATTGGTACGTTTAGTTGACATCTAATCAACAAGTCACGAGTTAGAACCCTGTTCTGTTTATCAAAGTGTGTTTGAGCTTGCATGTAGTTACTGAGAGTTACAGTTATGCAATCACATGTGTTTATCTACTTTTTTGTAAAATGTGTATCAATTCAGTATTTAATTCTCTCAAAAATATCTCTTCTGTTTTGTTTTCCTTCAGGGTAATTTGGATCCCTGTGCATTATATGCTGATGAGAATCAGCTTTCCAGTCAAGTAAAACAAATGATTGAAAAATTCGGTGTTAAACGTTATATTGCCAATTTAGGTCATGGTATTTATCCAGATGTTGATCCAGAAAATGTAAATAAATTCGTTAATTTAGTTCACAGACTATCGGAAACAGCATTGAAGTAAAACCAATTTAGTTTCATTTAGTTTCAATACCTCTTTTCTTCATTATTATTTATGGCTTTGTATTCTACTCTTATTGCCAGTTGTAGTAGTATGTTGCATATATTTTCCTCTTTGATAAGTTGCTGTTTAAGTATTAATTCTTCGTAAACTGAATAGTTTGTAGATTCTTTTCTTTTTCGCTCATTTTTGTACCTTACTTATTTCTTTTGATCTCTATGTTTAAATGTACGAATTCCATTTTGTATATAGTCATCTTAGGAATAGTTGACAATCAAAGTTATATTTTTTGTAACTACCAGTCTTTTAGTTTACACATGTGAACATCGTTTATCTTCCAATAATGGAAATAAGAATCTTTTGAAAATTGTCTTTGTTATTTATCTTAACTTTTCAAAGTAGAACTGTATCCAAAATAATCTATATTTTTGTATATTTAATTGGATAGTTTCACTCAACCAAATGCCTTATAAGTGTTTATAATATCTGGGCTAATTTTAAGAGGCCACAATGCTCGACCAATAACTAATAAGAAATTAAATGCATTACAGTTAGCTGTTAGATTGGGTATGTCACTATGCTATCACTCTTCCAGATTACAATGACCAAGTTCTTACTACTTTTGACGTCAGATAACTGTCAGTCTGTACCACGATTCTCTGATGTTTGTTAGCTCAATTTCGCGTAAATAAATACTAAGATATCTCAATGCTAGAGTCAAATTTAGGCTCTGGCGGACAGGTCAGCTATATCACAGAAGTCTTTAACTATTTATGTCCGGAATTCTCAAGACCTCAGTAAGGCTACTTACAATTTCATACCAGCAGTCACGAACTCCATGGACTCGTGTTGCGTTTTCACCTGCCCATCTTGAGCCGTTTTCAACGCAGTGCTAGTCCAGCTAACTTCCCTCATCGAGGAAGATGGTATACAGATGTCCTAGCCATCTCAATCTATGGGGTTTCACAACGTCATGTATTGAGTTTCTCTCCCTATCACATATCCTACCCCTAACCTTAGGCATATCTAGAAAAACTAAATTTAGAGTGGTAGTTGGCCTTAATATATCTGTTCTCATGAAACGCGGTAACCTGGTAATTCTTAGAATGAGTGGAATCCAGTATTACTCACAAAATTATCCACTTGACCATGCGTTTACAGTTGTCTTTAAGTGTATCTTGTTAAAAGCGCTTCTCAATATATTATGACAATAGTAAGTAAAAACGGTCGCGACTTAAAACGAAATGCAGTTACCAAACACTTTTTCCTCCCAATTTTTATACGCCTGTTGATTCATATTGGACTATGGCAGTAACAGTAATCTGCGTGAACATCTAAGAAGTAAACTTGTATATTCTTTTCGAAAGGAACTTGACATCTGATAGTTGCAGTATGCATCCAGTGTCGCGGCAACAAGTTCATCTGTAAACGTTCAGAAGCTGTTCCTCAGCATTTAAACTAACACGATCTATGGGGCAGACGGTATGTTGGCCAACAACTTTCAATTACACTTCAAAAATTGCTTACATCACTTTGAAAAATAATTTGACAAACGTACTGCTTCAGCTTTCTCAACTTATGGGTACAGTTTTGCATCACCGGTTAAAGTCACTCCATCTACTGAAGCTAACATACAATGGGGACTTCAAATACTACGGCACGATATGGCGTTGATAGGATTATGAGCAATCGTCATCAGTAAATATTACTGTACAACACTATGTGGTTTATAAAAATAAAATCTTGTCTATAATGGAGTTATACTCTACCACAGTGCCCAAGTTTTATACTTATATCAATAATACATATGAAACACCAAACCATTGAAAATCACTGTTTAGGATGACAGCTGCACTATATTTTTACCTGCAGTTGCCGATCTCGGAGTGTTCAGTGGGCTTACATTTCACTTTATGAGTTAAACAAGACGACTGTGGTTTGAACAGTGAAGTGCTGAATATTATATTCCATGATATGCTTATATAAATGACATGATTTCAGATCAACGAAAAGCTTTTTTGGAAATACATCACATCTGTTAACTACATAGTGCTGTTTTTTGTGAAAGTTTTTTTTAACTACTTATAGAATTCAGCAGTATTGAACAATAGCACTATAAAAGAGAGATATTACATTGTTGGAGTAAAACATCGAGTACTCTGAATAACTAAAACCACCTCATCTGAACTGATTAATACAAGAAGACTGATCCCGAAGAGCTTCGAATATGATGAGAAGCAAAAGCTGCTCAAAGAAGTCTTTGCAACGACCGTGAACAATGGTGGGCGACAAAAGCGAATGGGATGGAAAAAGCGTCGGCAATAGGTAACATCAAACAACTATTCAGACTTATCACGGAAACAGGTGGTAAAAGGCAAAGGATGAGTTAAACAATCTCTGAGGAAAATAGCACCATAATTAGCTCTCAGAATAGACAACTGGAACGTTGGAAAGAACACTGAGGAGCAAATTACCTGGCCTACTGCCACGGTCAACCTACTGAGCATCCAACACCTCCCTGAATGGGATATAGACACAGGTCCTCCGTCTCTAACCCAGGTCACAAAATCTGTCACTAATCTGAAAAGAGGCAAAGCAGCGAGATCTTATGGAATGACTCCAGAGTTGTTTAAGGACGGTGGAGACAGTTTACTGTCTGCGTTAACTAAGGTGTTAGGTGTTTCGGAATCAGAGATAGTCCTGTCGAGTTGGTGTAAGTTATTGATTATCCCGATATACAAGAAGAGAGACAAATCTTCCTGTGATAACCAAATGGGGAATAGCTTGACCAATATGGTATCCAAAGTCCTAGGCTCAATAATCATGCGTAGACTAAGTGGTGCTCGGGGGAAACAGCCACGAGAGAATCAGGCAGGCTTTAAACCAAGAAGAGAGTGTTTTGACTGGATACTAGTTAGTAACTTAAAATTATTATTTCCTTTAATTCCTAGAGGAACATAGGGCTTCAGCCACGCGTCTCCATTGCGTTCGGTTTTCTGCTAGAGTTTTCACCTGGCTCAGATTTATGCTGATTGTTGTTTGTTTTTGTTGTTGTTGCTGTTGGCCAGGAATCTTCATCACCTGTTTTCAGTATGTTCACCTGAAGTCCAATCTTTGATGCTTCTTTTGCTAACTTGTTGTTTTTCACTGTCTTATCTTCCATTTTGTTGAAAATCGGACATATATCATCGGCGAAGTCCAGATCCTCCAAATTTTTTGTGTGGGTCCATTTTATGTCTGTTTCGTCATTGCTCGCAGTCTGTCGCATTATCCTGTCTACCGCAATCAGGAAAATCATTGGAGATAGTAGGCAACCAGCCTTGTTTTACTCCCGTCTTCACTTCGGAGGATTCCGTCAGTTTCCCGTTGCGGATTACTTGGCACACAGCATTGTCGTACAACTGTTGGATGAGATGTATAATTGTCGGTGGCACCCCATAGTAGCAAAATAGTTTCCAAATCACCTCTCGATCGACACTGTCGAAGACCGACTCAAAGTCGATGAAGTTGAGATAGAGAGGTGACTGCCATTCCAAGCTCTGTTCAATGATGATACATGATTTGTTTCTCCTGAATCCAGCCTGTTCCGGTCGAAGTTTTTCATCCAGGACGTGTTTGATCCTCTTCAGGATGATGCGGCTTAGTATTTTGCTTGGGATAGACAGGAGCATAATTCCGCGCTAGTTCTTGCATTGACTTAAGTCTCTTTTCTTTGGTAGTTTGAATAAGTATTCTTTCTTCCAGTCCTCGGGTACTTTGCCTTCTTTCCACACCTTCTCCAGTAGTGTTGTCATCGAGTTCGCTGTTATGTCTGGGTCCATTCTCAATGCTTCTACTGGGATTTCATCTGGTCCTGCTGCTTTTCCAGCTTTTAGCATCTTGATTGCCTTCAGGACTTCTGATTTCGTCGGGGGGTTGCTGTTCACTGGTAGCTCTGTCTCCGTTGTTGGTATTGTTGGACGCGTTGTCGGTGGTGGTCGATTTAGGTGTCTTTTGAAGTGTTCAAACCAGTGTTTCCTTTGCTCCACTTCTTTGATGATTGACTTTCCATTGTCATCTTTCACTGGCCTGATTTGTGTTGAACTTTTCCCGATAGGTACCTAGTTGCTTGATAGAGTGTTACGAGGTCTCCTTTGCCTACAGCTTGTTCTGCTTCATTTGCCATGGCTTCATAATATTTTCTTTTGTCTACCCTGGCATTCCTCTTTACTCTTTTGTTCAGTGTATTGTAGCTTGCATTCAACTGCTGTTTTTGTTGCTCGTCGATGCACTGGATAGTTTTATGTTTCGCCATCTCTTCGTCTTCTATTAGTCTCCATGTGTCCGTAGTGAGCCAATGTTTGTCCTGTCTCTTCTTTAGTTAGTAACTAATGCAATGTGTCTACTACTTTGTCTGGTAGAGACTGAATTCTGTCAGTCAAATTTGCAATGTGGCCACCATTCTAGATGGCTCACCATCACAGTACACTTTGAATTTTTGATATTAGATGGTTGGAGGCAATCGGTAAAAAACGTAGGTCCAAGGTTTCCTGCCGATTGCCGCCAACCATCTATTATCAAGAAGAGGGTGTATTGATCATATCTTCTTCCTTCACCAGATTCTGAAACATAGGCATACTCACCGGCGTCCAACAATCGTCATATTTCTAGACCTAAAGGCGGTATTCGATTCCGTTGACCAAGAGGTACTATGGCGATGTTTGGCTGTGAAGGGAATGCCGAGGAAAAAAACTGCGCTGATCAAGGCACTCTACGCGAATTCATGCAGCCAGGTGATAGCCCATGGACAGTTATCCTCTGAAGTGGTGTCCATCGGGGATGCCCACTATTCCCATTTCTATTCAATTTCATCATAGATGTACTAATGGACTTAACCCTAACTCACTTCAGAGACTCAGGGATTGACTTGCTACCAGGGAATAATCTTGGAGAACGTTTAGTCACTGATGCAATCATCAGCAAACAAAGATGACTGATCTTAGATGAAGCAATCACTAAATTTATTGAATTACATGAGATTTATTTAGTTAGGAAGGGAAGATTGGAGTTTAGCCTTTCGAGTGTGATGCAGGGGGAAGCTGTTGACTCAGTCTGTTGTAGGTATCCAAATTCAGGGTGCACAGAATGACCAACAAGGTCGCATGCCTAAGAGAAATTTAGATGAAATAGAAGGCCACATTTAATGTCGGTCGCTCGCAGTATTAATGAAGTTGAAGAAGTCAACATGACAGCTTATATAAAATCGCAGTTTCAAGGAACCATACTGGTTGGATGATATATTAGTTATTTCCTCTATAATTCTAGACACTACATGCATGCTGTCTGCTGATCTATGCTGTGACTGAACTTTTTTATCTTGCGGGATTTATGTCTAAGCAGGATAAATAAAGGTTTCCATAATACAGAAGGTTCC